TTAATCACAATTAACTCGCCATTAATCACAATTTAATCACAATTAACTCGCCATTAATGACAATTAAAATTACCGTAATGTGATCACATTGATCACAATTAAAATGTGATCAATGGCAATTTAATTGTGATTAAATCGTGATTATATACAAAGTTGTATTAGGAGGGTTGTGTCTTAGGAGGTAATTTTAATTATCATTAAATTACCCCCATAAATTGTGATTACCTTTTTAATTGCGATTTAAAATATTATTAAATCATTAAAAATTAAATCACAATTAAAATTACCGTAGGTAATTAAACGGGTGCTTAAATGCTCAACTTCATCATTGTTTAATTGCCTGTGTTTGTAGATTAAACAAACATGCACTCATGTAAGCGTGCGTAATTCTGTGATACATATGCGCATATTTAAATAACTTAAGATCTAATATAATACAATTCTACACTTTACTAATATTCATACTCACTGATTTTGAATGGATTATATTGAATTTTATAACACGTACAGCGTTTAATCTTTACTTGACGAGTTTTTCTTCGCCTGTAAGACCGAAAATCTTATTCATTTCACACTTTACACTCCTGGTGTTATATATAACAGAGAGAAAGTATGACCATCGATCAAAAAATAACCCCCCAAAAAAATTATTCTTACATTTCTGGACTCGGGAGACCTCGAAACGTCGAGAAATGTAAAAAAAAATTGGGGTGTTTTTTCCCCTCTATGTATGGGTTTTAGTATGTGTGGGGGACACGTTATGTTTGTCCAATTTGAAGCTTAATAACTGCTGTACCTTTTGTCAAAAATTTCTGAAATTTTACAGGGAAGTTTGTGTATTAGTGTCATTAATGCTGTTAAATTTTGGTGGTTATATGTCAAGAGAATGGGGAGATAAACGGGGGGGTCACACGTCACATCTCGAGTGGGGTCGGATTTTTAATTAAGTTTTTTGATATTTTCTTACTGAAAGTTAGTAATTGTTCTGTTCATTTCAGTTGTATAACATGTTAGATCAGTGCCAAGAATCAGACGTACCTTTTGTCCAAAATTTCTGAAATTTTGCAGGGAGGTTTATGTATTAGATGGATTAACGTCGTTAAATTTTGGTTGATAAAGGTCGAGGGGTTAAGGAGATACATGGANCTTTTTAAAAAAAAAACTTTCCGCCCTGTGGGCATTAAAAGGGCCTTTTTAAACAAGCCCATTATGGGTTTTATATATATTTATATATATCCCATCGAGACTTCGAATTATCGACTTTCTAAAAAGTATTTGTCAAGGATTTGCATAACACAAAGCGTAGTGTTATGCAAATCCGTGCTGTATTGAACGTAACTATCGTGTTATACGAGGGATATCTGCATTTAATAAACAAGGTGTAAATCTTAAAGAAAATGTATTGCACTGTATTGTACATTGTTTAAAGAAGCGAGAGATCTAAAACAGAAGAAATTTAGGACTTACGAAATAACTTTAAAGAGAACAATAGGTGCTTTTGTTTCGTACTAATGGCGTAGGCCGTAAGTCAATTTTGAATTTTTCTTTTTATAATTCTACGTTATATAAAAGACACAAGAATGATGTCAAAATTACTTAAGGGTCATCTTTCAACGTAATTTCTATAGGTCATCATTAGGGTAATACCGTATTCGTAAAGGTAACATTTCATAATATACCGTTCGAATACAAATAATTTAAAATACAAAATAAATAAATAAATAAACGATGTGTATTGTATATATAAGGGTGTATGCGAGCAATGAGTTTCTACATTGCAAATTTCTTTTTTTTTTAAGAGCAAATTTATATCCCAGCGTGCAACAATCTACGCTCGCTCCCGAACAGAGAAGTGGTCGGCCATCTTTTTTTTTTCCAATGCGACTTCTCTCTCGGTTAATGTCCACACCAACTATGTAGAAATTAAAAAATTTTATAGATTTATATATAATAGAACATAAATTGTATTACGATTGAATTATTATTACAAAAGTTGTATGGATTTTTAAATATCTAGTTACTTTCCACCCACTCTGTAAAATTGTATATAATTAGTGTAGAGTTGTATGCGTTTAGTGATTGATTTTACTAATCACGAGGCACGTTTTTTAATAGTATTGTCCGTTTTAAAATAAGAAAAAAAGAAATAATTTATTATAGAGAAAAGAGATGTATATAATTCCATTATTTTTCCGCATAATCACCGTTGACTTCCATACATTTTACTTCAGTTGGAAGAAAGTATGGCGATCGGTCAAAAAATGACCCCCAAGATTTTTATATGTTTTTTGACTCCGGACAAATTGAAGTATTAACAATTATAATCCAGCTTGTGTCAGGTTGAAGTGCACTATAAGTGTCATGCTATTATATAATACAATCATTAATTATATCAATGTAAATACGTTAAACATTCTCTAAATCTTATTGTTATTTTTAATTCTCTCGCATACATTTTGAGATAATTTTTGTTGGTCAAAGATTGAGCCAAACACACATTATTTTGTCTAAGGGTATTGTTACATTTTTCAAATATGTTCTTTTTATATATGGAAACGAGTAATAACTTTTACCTTGTTTATATTAAGTATTGTTTATGCCACTTAATTAACTTTATACTGAATGATTATCCAAAATTAAACTTAATTAAATTAGAGTAATTATTATCGTGAAAGGTATGTTTTTTTCATTATTTAGAAAACACGTGGACTCTTCTCAATAAATCTGAGTAAACAACCAGATTACAATTAGCTGAATTTTATTCTTCTTCTTCAATTAGCACATTAATTCAATTGTCGTTTACCTGACAAACATTTGTTTTATTGTCGTTTTAAATGATTTTTAAGGCATATTCAGTTTAATTTTAACCACGTAAAGGAGTAGGCTTCCTATGTACAAAGTGTTAGAGAGGTGTTATATTTGAGTTTCATTAATTAATGCTTTTTGTTTTCAATTTGGAACAGATAATAATAGCATTTTACACGTTAAAAAATTTTCCTTTCTTGATAATACTCGGTGTTAAATCTAGTGTTTTCTTTTAATGAATACAATAGAAGAAGTTTAGTGTAAGTTTAATAAACCTCCGATCAATAAGAACCTCCATTTTATAAGGGGAAACAAAGAAATGATTGTTATCTGATGAGTTAAGTGACATATTTTTCTTTTCATTCGCGAGATAATCCACTTGTATTTTTTCAACTGACTATTTTTTCCACCCTCCCTACATCTAATATACTTATTGTGGACAAAACATCAACCCCTGGAGTACGATTAAATTGGGAAAATCCAATGTTACGATTTAAAGTAGTGGATCTTATCGAGCACTTAAGAAAATTGTTGCCACCTTCTAGAAGAAGTCCACCGAGAAAAATTCAAAATCGATGATTTAACTTCAAAAATAAAAGTTCTCGTATATTAAATTACAAAATCAATAATGCTAAGTCACACTGATACACAACCGTGATTTCAAATTAGTTTGAATTACTTAAACTTTCGCATCTTAAGTTTAACTCACAGCAACAAGCAAACTTGAAGGACATACACAACAGACCAAAAGAATGATCTTGACGCCATCCCCTACAAATACACCAATCAACTCGCTGCGCTATTTCGAATCTAGATGTACGTGTAAGCAAACATAATTGTGTAAATGCTGTAATTACAGCCCACAAAATTCAAACTAGCCGGTTTTCTGGTAATTCCACATTTCTAAAAGCCAGATATTTGGTACAGTACTGTAATTTTAATTCAGTCGAAAATACCAAATATTTACGAAAGTTTTTTAACTGTTAGAATAGAAAAACGTTATGTAAAAATACATGAAGTGATTATAAATACTAATGCAGTAAATTAACGATAACTATTTTATTCGTTTTCCGAATTTTGACGAACTGTACAATAAATACATTTCATCCCCATAATCGACATTTATTCTCGGGATTCATATAACTTTTCAAAGGACAGTTGAAAACTTCAGCAAAATCTGGAGAATTCATTAAAGGAACCAGCACTCTAAAAAGAAAATTTTACGATATTAATAAATTAGTATTATATTTATTTTATATCCTTATCCACAGATGAAAGTCTCCGCTAAAAATTAAATAATTAACATTTCTGTTACTTTAAGCAATTTAATGCTTGCTGTTTGTCTCCTGGTTTTACTTTTGACCATAAAAAATTAACTTATTAAACTTACCGGTATTTTCCGGGACTATGCTGATCACGTTCGAAAGTTTTTTTCATGGATTCGATTGCCTCACACCAAAGCTACGCACAACATGAAATATTTATAAAATTTTGTATTTAGTATTAATATTATTTATAATTTGAATTTTGTTTTAATTATTATTGGAAAATTAAAATTCTAGTGTTTTCATTGGTATATACTTTTATTCCAGATGTTTATCAGAATAACGACAAGATTTATACTAAAAGAATACTAAAACAATATTAATTTAACAAAGCAGAGAGTTAGCGAAGTATCTTCTATATGGCTTTCTCCTCAAAATTTAATCGATCCATTTTGATAAAACTCTGCTATTTTTAATGTCACTTTGACCCCACTGTATCTCGAAAACGAAGTTATAGACCGATATTTTTTTTATTACAGTTTTGGATTTTTCATGTCAACTAATTCCGTTACGGACGATCAATGACGTCAAAGTGACAATGTTTGACGTCATTGATCGTCCCTAACAAAATTTACGAACTAAAATAAAAAATCACCATTGCCTGCACCTAACAAAAAATTTTTGCGAGAAACCGACAAAATACGTGAACAAAGCAATCGGCGTCAATTGCTTTCTTCTTGAATCGCCTCTCCGTGAGAGCGTGTAAAGATAGCATTTTTCGTATACATCAGGTGAAAGAATCACATTTCTTTCCGACTCCACATCAATTTTGTCATTATGTCCTATCTTTGTAAGCAAATTTCAAATGTATGGATTAACCTGAGCAAATCCGATGAAAAACATTTGTTTATTTGTAAAGTCGAGACCAGGAAGATGAGGTTCTTCTCCGTGGCGTTTAAGATATTTTTCGTAAGCCTGCATAATGAAGTAATANCGCCATTAATCACAATTTAATCACAATTAACTCGCCATTAATCACAATTTAATCACAATTAACTCGCCATTAATCACAATTTAATCACAATTAACTCGCCATTAATCACAATTTAATCACAATTAACTCGCCATTAATCACAATTTAATCACAATTAACTCGCCATTAATCACAATTTAATCACAATTAACTCGCCATTAATCACAATTTAATCACAATTAACTCGCCATTAATCACAATTTAATCACAATTAACTCGCCATTAATCACAATTTAATCACAATTAACTCGCCATTAATCACAATTTAATCACAATTAACTCGCCATTAATCACAATTTAATCACAATTAACTCGCCATTAATCACAATTTAATCACAATTAACTCGCCATTAATCACAATTTAATCACAATTAACTCGCCATTAATCACAATTTAATCACAATTAACTCGCCATTAATCACAATTTAATCACAATTAACTCGCCATTAATCACAATTTAATCACAATTAACTCGCCATTAATCACAATTTAATCACAATTAACTCGCCATTAATCACAATTTAATCACAATTAACTCGCCATTAATCACAATTTAATCACAATTAACTCGCCATTAATCACAATTTAATCACAATTAACTCGCCATTAATCACAATTTAATCACAATTAACTCGCCATTAATCACAATTTAATCACAATTAACTCGCCATTAATCACAATTTAATCACAATTAACTCGCCATTAATCACAATTTAATCACAATTAACTCGCCATTAATCACAATTTAATCACAATTAACTCGCCATTAATCACAATTTAATCACAATTAACTCGCCATTAATCACAATTTAATCACAATTAACTCGCCATTAATCACAATTTAATCACAATTAACTCGCCATTAATCACAATTTAATCACAATTAACTCGCCATTAATCACAATTTAATCACAATTAACTCGCCATTAATCACAATTTAATCACAATTAACTCGCCATTAATCACAATTTAATCACAATTAACTCGCCATTAATCACAATTTAATCACAATTAACTCGCCATTAATCACAATTTAATCACAATTAACTCGCCATTAATCACAATTTAATCACAATTAACTCGCCATTAATCACAATTTAATCACAATTAACTCGCCATTAATCACAATTTAATCACAATTAACTCGCCATTAATCACAATTTAATCACAATTAACTCGCCATTAATCACAATTTAATCACAATTAACTCGCCATTAATCACAATTTAATCACAATTAACTCGCCATTAATCACAATTTAATCACAATTAACTCGCCATTAATCACAATTTAATCACAATTAACTCGCCATTAATCACAATTTAATCACAATTAACTCGCCATTAATCACAATTTAATCACAATTAACTCGCCATTAATCACAATTTAATCACAATTAACTCGCCATTAATCACAATTTAATCACAATTAACTCGCCATTAATCACAATTTAATCACAATTAACTCGCCATTAATCACAATTTAATCACAATTAACTCGCCATTAATCACAATTTAATCACAATTAACTCGCCATTAATCACAATTTAATCACAATTAACTCGCCATTAATCACAATTTAATCACAATTAACTCGCCATTAATCACAATTTAATCACAATTAACTCGCCATTAATCACAATTTAATCACAATTAACTCGCCATTAATCACAATTTAATCACAATTAACTCGCCATTAATCACAATTTAATCACAATTAACTCGCCATTAATCACAATTTAATCACAATTAACTCGCCATTAATCACAATTTAATCACAATTAACTCGCCATTAATCACAATTTAATCACAATTAACTCGCCATTAATCACAATTTAATCACAATTAACTCGCCATTAATCACAATTTAATCACAATTAACTCGCCATTAATCACAATTTAATCACAATTAACTCGCCATTAATCACAATTTAATCACAATTAACTCGCCATTAATCACAATTTAATCACAATTAACTCGCCATTAATCACAATTTAATCACAATTAACTCGCCATTAATCACAATTTAATCACAATTAACTCGCCATTAATCACAATTTAATCACAATTAACTCGCCATTAATCACAATTTAATCACAATTAACTCGCCATTAATCACAATTTAATCACAATTAACTCGCCATTAATCACAATTTAATCACAATTAACTCGCCATTAATCACAATTTAATCACAATTAACTCGCCATTAATCACAATTTAATCACAATTAACTCGCCATTAATCACAATTTAATCACAATTAACTCGCCATTAATCACAATTTAATCACAATTAACTCGCCATTAATCACAATTTAATCACAATTAACTCGCCATTAATCACAATTTAATCACAATTAACTCGCCATTAATCACAATTTAATCACAATTAACTCGCCATTAATCACAATTTAATCACAATTAACTCGCCATTAATCACAATTTAATCACAATTAACTCGCCATTAATCACAATTTAATCACAATTAACTCGCCATTAATCACAATTTAATCACAATTAACTCGCCATTAATCACAATTTAATCACAATTAACTCGCCATTAATCACAATTTAATCACAATTAACTCGCCATTAATCACAATTTAATCACAATTAACTCGCCATTAATCACAATTTAATCACAATTAACTCGCCATTAATCACAATTTAATCACAATTAACTCGCCATTAATCACAATTTAATCACAATTAACTCGCCATTAATCACAATTTAATCACAATTAACTCGCCATTAATCACAATTTAATCACAATTAACTCGCCATTAATCACAATTTAATCACAATTAACTCGCCATTAATCACAATTTAATCACAATTAACTCGCCATTAATCACAATTTAATCACAATTAACTCGCCATTAATCACAATTTAATCACAATTAACTCGCCATTAATCACAATTTAATCACAATTAACTCGCCATTAATCACAATTTAATCACAATTAACTCGCCATTAATCACAATTTAATCACAATTAACTCGCCATTAATCACAATTTAATCACAATTAACTCGCCATTAATCACAATTTAATCACAATTAACTCGCCATTAATCACAATTTAATCACAATTAACTCGCCATTAATCACAATTTAATCACAATTAACTCGCCATTAATCACAATTTAATCACAATTAACTCGCCATTAATCACAATTTAATCACAATTAACTCGCCATTAATCACAATTTAATCACAATTAACTCGCCATTAATCACAATTTAATCACAATTAACTCGCCATTAATGACAATTAAAATTACCGTAATGTGATCACATTGATCACAATTAAAATGTGATCAATGGCAATTTAATTGTGATTAAATCGTGATTATATACAAAGTTGTATTAGGAGGGTTGTGTCTTAGGAGGTAATTTTAATTATCATTAAATTACCCCCATAAATTGTGATTACCTTTTTAATTGCGATTTAAAATATTATTAAATCATTAAAAATTAAATCACAATTAAAATTACCGTAGGTAATTAAACGGGTGCTTAAATGCTCAACTTCATCATTGTTTAATTGCCTGTGTTTGTAGATTAAACAAACATGCACTCATGTAAGCGTGCGTAATTCTGTGATACATATGCGCATATTTAAATAACTTAAGATCTAATATAATACAATTCTACACTTTACTAATATTCATACTCACTGATTTTGAATGGATTATATTGAATTTTATAACACGTACAGCGTTTAATCTTTACTTGACGAGTTTTTCTTCGCCTGTAAGACCGAAAATCTTATTCATTTCACACTTTACACTCCTGGTGTTATATATAACAGAGAGAAAGTATGACCATCGATCAAAAAATAACCCCCCAAAAAAATTATTCTTACATTTCTGGACTCGGGAGACCTCGAAACGTCGAGAAATGTAAAAAAAAATTGGGGTGTTTTTTCCCCTCTATGTATGGGTTTTAGTATGTGTGGGGGACATGTTATGTTTGTCCAATTTGAAGCTTAATAACTGCTGTACCTTTTGTCAAAAATTTCTGAAATTTTACAGGGAAGTTTGTGTATTAGTGTCATTAATGCTGTTAAATTTTGGTGGTTATATGTCAAGAGAATGGGGAGATAAACGGGGGGGTCACACGTCACATCTCGAGTGGGGTCGGATTTTTAATTAAGTTTTTTGATATTTTATAATAATATAAGATTTTTTATAAATGAAATTTTATAACAGATGGTACCACACAGAATTTTAACTCTTGCTGGAAAAGTTACGTAACTGGTTTTTGGATTTTTTGTAATTTAAACATGAAGTTTTTAGGGGTATAGGAGCTCAAGTGAAGAAAAACGATTTGATTTATATACTTTTACTAATCAGATTGACTGTTTTTATAAGTAAGAAGTTTTATCCGCTTTTCCATCAATGCTAGGAGCGTTAATAAGATCTTTGAAAAATCCATCTAAATCCTATTTTTAGAGAATAAAGAAATTTCCCCCTTTAACTTCTCCGTACAGCAGACAAGTTATACAGGGAAGAGAATATTCGGGGGGGGGGGGAAACTCATGACGTGAACTAGAACGATTTTCTTAGAATTCTTTAATTCTTCTGCTTTACCAATTTTATATTTTTACGAAGAGTCTTTAAAGATAATACACTTTTATTTTATAAAAAATAAATAAAATTTAAAGAGAATTTTAAAGAATTTGATAATATTTTCAGTATTAATAGATGCTAGAATATAACGTGGCACGATTCGTTCACCCACTTTGAAGCTTAATAACTCCTGGGCCTTTTGTCAAAAATTTCCGAAATTTTGCAGGGAGGTTCGTTTATTAAGGTGATCGATGCTGTTAAATTTTGGTGGTTAAAGGTCAACGGGGTGGGGAGATATGGTGGGTCACTTGTCGTAACTCAAATGTGGTCGGAATTACCATTTACAATTTAAAAATAAAAAATAACTTATCTCTACCCTCAAAATTAAACTCTTTGCCATTTTATAATAATTAATAATAATAATAAATATTTTATTTTCAAAATTTTTATAACAGATGGCGCCACACGCAATTTAAATTTTTCCGCCAGGAAAGTTATGCAACTCGTTGCTATTATATTTTATACGGAATATTTGATGATGAGAGGATGATTTTTACAGCAATTTCTGCCCTTAGAAAAGGGAGATTTAATCAAAAACTGAGCAATTATTTTTGAAATTGAAAAATATATTGATATTTTAACAATTTTTTAATTAATTATTATATATTTTGAATAAATAAAACATTGACATTTGAATTATTAATTGTTGTATTCGTGTGGGAAACGGAATTAACCTACCGAATTAAAAATAAATGAGGCAATTCTACTCGTCTATTATTATTATTATTATTATTATTATTGATAATTTAAGAATATCATTCTATATAAATTTTTAAATGAAATTATTAATTTAAACTTACGTCATAATACTTGCAATGAATCTAATTTATCCTTTAAGCGAAATTAATGCTAAATTTTGAATCATATATACTTGATTATGGCAATTATTTTCTCTTATGCATCTCTAAATATTCTTTGTTCGTAATGATAGGGATGAATTTTGGCTTGTAAGGCCTTAGGTTATAATATGAGGCCCCTTTTGAATTGATTTATACTTATAAAAGTTTAGGCTAAGTCCCTACACTTACTAAATGTTCTTGTATGTTTCTTACATTATAGTTTGAGTTAGTAAAAGAGGCCTCTTACATACACTTTTGAATCGATTTCTACTTATAAGGCCCTAAACCTCTGCTTAAAACCCTATCTTTTTTAAGGATGATATTTATAAAAATAGGGTTGATAAAAGGAAAATGCTTTACACTTTCGTCGTGAGTAAGATTACAATAAGCTTCCTTAAGAGCCTTTAAACATATATTTTATACAGGGTGGCCTAAAAATCAGTTTACATTGTAGAGACGAAATTGCTGTCTTACTCAAATATTTAAGTTTGAGACGTGATTATGTATGTAATTAATCAATTTTGTGGGCGAAATAAATGCTATTCCTGGCCTTTTTTCACGATTTAAAATCGGTTAACTAACTTTCGGACCACCCTATATGTTAATAATTGTACTGTACCTGTAAGAAAAATTTCAGGCACGAAATTATTAAGGCTGTAAGTTTTTCCTAGGAATTATTACGAGTAAAATAAGGAAAATAGATTAAAAATAAGTGAAATAAAGTAATCCTCACAAATTTAACATTAATTTAATACAGCGATGAATCATTTACATTAACTTTGTAATTAAATTTTCTACTAAATTACTGGCTGAGAAAATGGCATTTTGAAACGTTATTTAAATCAAAATTAATGAAATTTTCAATTGAATTTTGCATTTTCTCACTTTTAATACATCAAAATTATTTATATTTAACGTACAGACAGTTTGTGTTAAAAATATCATCAAAAAATTCTCGTTTATAGCTATTAAATTAGCGACACGCTCAACAAATGTACGTGTAACTTTAAAACTATTAAAGCTAATTTTTATAAACTTATATATTTTCGTATAAGACATATCCTGCCGTAGAATTACAAAGAAAGAATTTAAAATACTCAAAATTAACAGATTTATGACCTATTTTGTGTTTGCTTAAATATAAATTGGATAGAGTTTAGTGAGAGAGAAACTTTCAAATATCCTTAACTCGATATAAAAATTTACACCGATAATTAATTAAATTCGATATAGTTTTCGTTTGTAAACAAAGAAAAACACCATTTTGTCGAAGCAAAATTTAATTTTTAATAGTTAAAATAAACAGAATGCAGTCAGGAAAAATCAATAGGAAAGTTTTGTCAGGATTACTAATTACTTCTATTAGCTTTTGCAAGTCGATAAAATCCAATCTAGACAATTTTAACCCGTAAGTAACGCTTATCACGTGCTTTATCCCTATAATAGGATCAGTAAGGTCTTTTATATTAAATTATCGTTAACCTTTCATCAGTATCACGGTATAAGCATCTATCAGTCGACGTTAACCGATTCTAGAAGGGGGATGGATTAGACGACGACAGAAGCATCATTTAATTAAACAAACGTTTGTTCATCCCTTTAATTACACACCAAATTAGTCGCATCAACTTACGACCAAGTACACACGGAGGGAGGATGGAGAGGAGGAGGAGGAGGAAGAAGAAGAAAAAATTAACACAGACGAACACCAGATGGCAGTGAATGGATCAATAATCCTGATGTACAACCCCTGCGCAGCTGGTGACTAGGCATAGATAGAGCTACACTGTCATTCTCAACAGCATACCTGTTTCCATGAGGACTCGTAACCTACCTTGATCCAAACTTAAAAATTGATATATCTAGACACCAAGAGAGGTAGAGAAAACGAAACATGTCTACGAATGGTGGTGACGTCGTCGGTGGATTTCCATCAGTCATCGAGTTGAACGTAGGAGGAGTGTTCTACAGCACCTCGCTGGAAACCCTGACAAAGGATCCGAATTCTCTACTAGGCCAGATATTCGGGAGTAAAGAGGGACGTTCCAACATAATCAGAGACTCGAAGGGCAAGTATTTTATCGATCGCGATGGTGTACTCTTCCGTTACATCCTGGATTACCTGAGAAATTTGAAGGTGGTGCTACCCGAAAATTTCCACGAGCGCGAGAGATTAAAAGCGGAAGCCGAGTACTTCAATTTACCGGATATGGTGGCCAGCATCTCTAACATAACGTCAGCTTATCCGACCCGCTACCCGATTAACCAGCAGTTCAGTAATTTGGCGGTGACACCGACATCGCCCGGCAATTACAACGCCGGATACATAACAGTGGGTTACAGAGGGACATTCGCATTCGGTCGTGACGGCCTGGCAGACGTAAAATTTCGTAAACTGACACGTATCCTGGTATCCGGTAAGGTCACGCTGTGCCGTGAAGTTTTTGGTGACACACTTAACGAATCACGCGATCCGGACCGATGTAACGATGACCGATACACGGCCAGGTTTTTCTTAAAACATAACTTCTTGGAGCAGGCATTCGATAACCTTCAAGAAGCTGGGTTTCGGTGCATGGCTGCATGTGGTTCGGGCACTTCCGGTAACGGTAACGAACCGTTAAAACCGGGTATGGATTCCGAAGAGAACCGCTGGAATCACTATAACGAGTTTGTGTTCGTCAGAAGTTAAAGGAAAACGTTCACCTGCAAATTTTCCTTCTACTTTTCTCCTTTGTGTCTAATCACTTCATAGAGAACTTTCTACCGTTCAGCACTTACCATAAAAGAGAATTAATTATTATTCATTTGCACACGTAATTTAGTTCTACCGTATCTAGGAAAACGAGGAAGTTCTTTCTTAGAAGATTATACTTTAAAATNTCCCCCCCATTAAAAAATGCTAAAACAATTTTTTTTTCTAAATAAATGTACAAAATTAAAAGCGAATTTCGAGCTCTGTGTCATAAATGAGGAGATTTTAGAACTAAATAATTTATATATTTATCGCTTATAATAAATTACAGTATTTTAAAATCGTATTGAGATTATCTTTATCTTTTGAGAGTTATTTTGAATCCTAAGCGGAAAAAATTGAAACGAGATAAATATTTTCAAATTGTACAATAAATGTACAGTAAACAAAGAGTAAAGTATTCAACTAAATGTCCACTCAAGTAATTAAATGAAGATTCATTTCTAGTATACAAATTCATAACTTTCAATATTCTCAATCTTTTAAATGGATAAATAATTAATAATTTAAGATTTAAATTTTATTTTAATTCCAAAAAAGACAATTTATCTCACCTCTCTCTGTCTTTACTTTCATCTCACTTCTCCCTCCTCCCCTCTCTCTTTTTCTTTCTCCCTCCTCCTCTCTCTCTCTCTTTTTCTTTTTCCCTCCCCCCTCTCTCTCTTTATTTCCCCCTCCTCTTCTCTCTCTCTTTTTCTTCCTTCTCTCGCCTTCTACCTCTCTCTCTCTTTCTACTTTGTTCTTCCTCCATCACTTCTCTCTCTTCTTCCTTCTTCTTTTCTCTCTCCCCCACTTCTCCCTTCTTTCTCACTTAATCCCCCTCTCTCTCGCTATCATAAATCTTACATTAAAATATATGATAACAAAATATTTGAAATAAAAATTCAAGTATTGTATTCCATATATACTTTAAAAATGATTTTAGAAATGAAAATTACTCGGACATAAATACACTAATTTAAAATTTTAAATTGATACGTCATTACTTCATTTATTTATTTATTTTTTCCTCTTCTCTGTGGACACTAAAAGGACCCATTTTTTTAAAAAATGTATCCACCTCGAATGACCCACAAAGGCAATTCGAGTAGTCAGGGATTGGATTGAATTGATGTAATAAGGCAAGAAGACAGCGTACGGACGATCTGTCAAAGGAGAGTGACTCTCAGGAGGACTTATGAAAAATTTGCCCTATTCAGATGTTACAGGTGTGGAGAAATTCCAGAAAAATCCACGCGGCTACCCTGTTGATCAGGGGCGAATCAGTGACCGGTGGGTTTTATCCACTCCGCTCTTGTTATGTTCCTTGCTGTTATTACGTAACATGGGTTACATTTCCGGCTCTTTATTGTAATCGTTCACATTCGACCTTTCGGGTTTTTGAGATCGTGATGTTTTGACCCCTCTGAAACCAAAAATGTAAAAAAAAACCCTGATACCTTTGTGTGTGTTGTGTTTTGTTTAATATTTCAGGGGGGATGTAAAAGATTAAGATACGAAATTTGGCATGGTAACTTGTATATAAAGGGCATTGATGCTGTTAAATTTTAGTGGGTAACGAGGGGTTCACGTGTCATATCTCGAATGGGATCGAACTTGAAGTTTTTTAATCGTTATTGACATTTAAAATATATTTAAAAACTCGTCTCTACCTTCAAAAGTAAAGCTTTGGACTTTTTTTTTTTAAATAAATATTAGAAATATAACTTTTATATCATTAAACTCCCATAACAGCCGGGAAAGTTACGCAACTCGTTGTTGGATTTTTTTCCAGAAATATGTAGTATATAAACACTAATATTTTCTTTATTGTAAGATTTTACGTTTATTTTATGAAATAACATAACATTTCTGAAATCTTTAAAAAATTTATTTATTTTTAAATTTAATTTTAACGGTTAATAAACGATTTGAAAAGAATTTTATGTCCATTTCAATCCCTTTGATTGGCTTGTTCATTTAATTAACGGACATTTATTGTTAGTGTCGCCATCTGTTGAGCGATAAGTAAAGATGCTATATTTTTATATACTGTATTTCAAATAAAATAATGTCAGTATTTAAATTTATTAAAATTTTTTAAAATTTAGAAAAAATATTGTTTTTAAACGTATAAAATAATTATATTGTGCAAAAAATGTTTAAAACGTTAATAACAATAATAATAATATTACAGTATTATTATTACTGTACTCTGTGTAGAATAATAATTTATTCCCTCTTGCATCATTTAATCTAATTATTTTAATTATCTAATCTAAATATTTTAATGCTGAATGGGCATTATTGTGCTGCAATTAAATTGCAGCACAATAATGCCCATTCAGCCCAATTTTGAAATTGCAGACATACAATCTCACTGACGTGTCTGTTTGTCTGTTCTTCGTTAACTGAGTTAACTAGATGAAAACCGAGACTGGATATGGAAAGCTCAGGGGCAGGAGGTATGTACGAACTTTTGGTCTGAACCGGAAGTCACGTGATTTCAATTCAAAATTTTTTCGAGAACTCAGATGGCCGGTATGACTCGACTGTTATCAGGAGAAGTATGATGTACAGGGGCAAGATAGTGCTAAAATCCAGACCAGATGCAGAAAGCTTAGTGAATCAAGCCCAAGTTTTCCTCCCTCCCTGAATATATATATATACTGTATACGAAGGAACTTAATAGCATTTGTACATCTACATTAATTATTGTAGTTTTTTATATAAGCTTTACCACTACACAGCGTTCTGGTATGTTTTGCATATTTTAAATTTGTAATTTATTGATATATAATAATATTACTCTTTAAAAAAGTTAGCAAAAAGTTGAGTAACTCTCCAGGCAAGAGTTAAAATCCGATGTGGCCCCATCTGTTACGACATTTCACTTGAAAAATCTTATATATGATTAATTATATAATAATAATACAAATGCTAATAACGAGTACGAACCTCATTATATAGTCCGTCCCCAGTCGAAATGCGACACGTGAACTCTCTCTATCTCCCTGCCCCGTCGACCTTTCACCACCAAAATTTAGTAGCATCGAGCCCCCCAATACAAAACCCTCCCTGCAAAATTTCAGGAATTTTCGACAAAAGGCACGAGAGTTATTAAACTTCAAAGAGGATGGACAAAGCGTGCCCCGTACACACTAGCATCCATGCTAAAAAATTCGGTGTGTTTTTCTTTATGTATTTCTCGATTTTTCAAGGTCCCTCGAATTTAAAAATGTAAAAATTTGGGGGTCACTTTTTGGCTGATAGCCATACTCATTTACACCCCAAACTTATTGTATAAACAAAAATGTTTTGCGTAGTGAAAATTAAAATTGAATATAAGACACTAGAAAATAATAATAAATAATTAATTATTTGTCTGTTTTAGATGTACAAAGTTCTATATGAACACATATACTTTATGTTTGAGTAGTAACATTTATCAAATTTCTTTATCTTTATTTGAAAGATAAACAATACTTTTTCTTTCTTAGAACTTTCCTTTTACTAGCAAATATCATTTATTTCCTGTAAAAGGAATGTCAATCTTAACAAGAAAAGGAGCGTAAACTAACTCTGAATAAATAGACTCGGATCCCTCCCATTTTTTTACGAGACGTCACGCGTGACGGGATCTATACGTCACTTATGGTCACGTGGCCGAATTAGGTCAAGGACGTAATCTTACTACTTCCTGCAAGTAATTTTAATTGTTAGATTTCGTTTACTCTGTTTTGCATCACGTTTCTTTTCCAGTTACGTAAATGAACTTTACGAAAGGGATAATTAATGATTAATTTAATTGTAATGCGGGGAAGTTTTTTAATGGTAATTTTAATTGTGATTTAAATTAAATCACAATTAACTGGCCATTAATCACAATTTAATCACAATTAACTCGCCATTAATCACAATTAACTCGCCATTAATCACAATTTAATCACAATTAACTCGCCATTAATCACAATTTAATCACAATTAACTCGCCATTAATCACAATT